GAGGGCTTCTAGTGTCCTGGCCCCACTGCTGGACTTCCTGATGGCACCTGGTATTTTTGGCCACTGTGTGACAGAGTGTTGGACTAGATGGGCCATTGGCCTGATCCAGCATTGGCTTCTCTTATGTTCTTATGTCCTTTCAAAGCAGAGGCAGATGCAATCAAGTTAATTGTGGCTGCATTCGTGTCCTGTGGATAGAAAAGGAAAGCTAGGGCCAAAACCCAAATCCTCCTGTAGATTTAAACTGATTTCACAGTCATTCCTTCTTCCCTGGGAATTTTGAGATCTGTTGTTTTGGGATAAGGCCCTGTAGCTCTCCCACAGAGGATTCTGCAGCATCATTGCTGAGTTTCTCTCATACAGTCAAATTGGTCTATAACCAAATAATATACGTTGATTTATATAGACATACACTTTAGAGTTTTTCAGTTGGTTACTAGGGGTGTGCATTCAGCATAAACCAAGCCCAAATAATACCGGTAAGGTATTTTTTGGGTATTATTTAAGCCAAATACAAATCAGAGAATCTGATCAGATACCAGTATAGCTGAGGGGGGCCCCCAAAAGCCAATAAATGCCTTTTTACACCCCAGTTGGTTACATTTGACAACTACTTCCCCAATATGAAATAGAAGTAGTAAAGACACTGTGTGTGGATTTTGCCATCTCAAAAATAAACACAAGAACCACTTAGTATCTATGGCTAAGAGCTGGTGTTGACATACAGCAGAATGAGATAGTAGAGTGTTGCAGGAGTGTAGAATGGGCCCTTTAGACTGCAAGCAGAAAATACATTTCTGAATGCTTCTCTGCATTTAAACATGCTCTGTAAATAGAAAGCTAGCAAAACAGACACAAGCTATGCTCCCTGACATGTTAAATTTCTGTTTGCGGAGACTCTCTTTTTTCCCACATGGAAGTACATTCAAAATCAATATCTATGATCTCAACATTCAGGCCTTAGATTGAATTGGTTGCACAGAGGGCTCAGGGCACATAGTGAGGCCCATTGTTCTGAGAGCAGCCACCTGCACTGCGAAACAAGCAGCTTCTGAAACTCAGGAGTACCGCGAAAGTCTCTTCCTCTGCAGAATGAGAAGGACCAGTCAATGGGGGGGAAATGAGGAAAACCAGGTGCACACAGAGAAACCTCTAGGAACCTATCAACCATTTAATACATTATGTGTTAACAAACCCAGGCTTGAATTACCACTGTGTACGTTAGACTGAGAATTGTAACCAGTGGTGGTTCCCGTATGATATATGTGTGAATATAAAAACCACGTTGTAGTACTAGCACATGACCATTTTTAGGTGTGCACTTAAGTCATATAAGGTACACCTAGAAGTGACCACATTTTGCTGCTGAGCTTCAGCCCAGTTCTGAGTTGATCCCCAAGGTAGACCTTGATGCAGGCTGTCCTCACATTCATAGGCTACATACCAAACTGTGCAGCTCTGCCTCTGAACAGAGTCCTCTTCCTGCTTTCCACTGATTTTTTTTCATGATGCATTATTTTAAAGGCACAGTTCAATGGATAAAGGCAGAGGTTCACATTCTCTGTTGCCACAGTCTCATTAATTTTGGAAAGGTTACACTGGTATGACACCACCGTGGAAGGGTTTTCTGTTCTTGTGCACTGAGAGCAGAGGGCCTTGGCTAAGAGCTTAAAAAAAAAGAATTAGCGAGCCATATCCTGACACATTCGATTGAACTGCATTTATGTATCAGAAGGAAAGCTTTAAAATAAAATCTGAGAGTGCAGCTGGTGTTCTTCTTGAACAGGTACAGAATATGTCCCAGTCCATTGAAGTTTTAAACCTACGAACTCAAAGGGATTTCCAGTATGTTTTGAAAATGGAAACACAAATGAAAGGGCTGAAGGCCAAGTTTCGGCAAATTGAAGATGACCGGAAGACTTTAATGACAAAGCATTTCCAAGTAGGTCTGATATATATTTTTTTGAATGCCTGCCAGAACCACATGCCTCTGAGAAACAATGTGTGGATTGTGAAACTGTTGGTTTGAAATGTTTGTCCGTAAGTGCATAATGAACCCTCCCTTCCACTCCGATCCTCCCTCTCACTCTGCAGTTCCATTGTGATGGGAAGTGACTGTTAATTGCTACAACCGTTTCATTGCACCCCAGATGGTGTTCCTAGCAGGAGATTTATATCCAGCCAGGCACTGCTGGTGATAAATGAGGCACCCAAGAGAATGAATGACAAAAGAACAAGGACTGATGCCCTTTTAAACACTGATGACATTTTGTACAATCCAAGATAGGAAAGTATATAAGGCAAGAGATTCATGTCACTTTAATTAGTAACACTGAGAGGTCTTGTTTGTTTGACCATCTAGCTTGCCTGCTCTTGCTTAGACATTTGTCTAAGGGTCAAACAAAGCAAGGCCAGTTTTTGAGAGTTGAGTCTCTGCTCAAAACCACTTTCAAATACACCTGTACTGTATACGCTGTACTGACTGCAGAGTCACCCCTGAATAGCCGTAGAACGGCCATGACTCTATGCAGACAGTACCATAAAACCAAGAGATCAAAGGAAGTGAAACCAGCATGCAGTGTGGAGGCTACCATAAAACCTGACAGTCAAGGAAAGTGAAAGTAGCATGCAATGTAGAGGGGAATTTCTGTTCCAACGTGGGTTTGGTAAAACAGTGGAGCGCATGCTAGACGCAGAATGGGCCTCTGTTTCCCTGTGTCAATTTTCTTACCATCAGCCATATGTCATGCTGGGGAAGCTCATTTCTCAAGCGTGCAGGGCTCCAACTGATCGGGGATTTGGACTGTGGCGTGGGGGAAGAAGGGGCTTCATCCTCCCCCCCAGTACCATTTCCCCAGTCCAAAATGGCTCCCGGGAAATGCTGTTTGCCCTGCTATGGAGCTGCAGGGGTAACCAGAAGTCTGATGTGTGATTGATAATAGCAGAGTCAGGCCAGGGAAACCCAGACCCAGCTGTCAAAAGATCATCTTGTGTCGTTTGGTCCTAAAATGGAGGCACGCAGCAACTGCTCAGGTTTGTAGAAAGCAGTCTACCCGTCACAATCTATGATCACCTATTCAAGGCAGAATCTGAATGCAGAGTGTGGCGACCAGCATAGAAAGAGAAGTACTGAAGTAATAAACACCCAGGGGTCATTTGGGGGGGGACGCGGGGGAACGCCATCCCCCCGGGTGAGGTGCGGGAGGGCAGGGCCTGGAGCTCCCTGCTGGTGCCCGCTGGAGGTCGCCGCCGGCTGTGGGGAGGACACACTTCCGGTGATGTCAGGGGGTGTGGCATATGCTAATGAGTTATGCTAATGAGTCCCCCTAGCTCTTTTTCTACGAAATGACCCCTGTAAACACCCTTTGGTTTCCAGTTTGATTTGGGGAAACTATCACTTTCCCCCTAATATGACTGTTGGGCAGGCCAGTCCTGTTAACAGCAGCAAGAAAAAAAGGTAGAACATTTTCTTTGGTGGGGCAGGTGTGATTGGTTGAGCACACTGTAGCACTGGCAGTTCAAAGTCACTGCCACAAATTGATGTTACAGCGATGGAGGGTTAGGATATGAAGGCAGGTGTTTAAACAACACCAAAGGTCAAGAGTCAGGGACCTTTGTGGGTAGGGAGGCAGACCCAGCCAGCCTTTCTCTTGGTGCCACCATGACATCATGGCAGAGAACCATAACAGGTGTCCCAAATGCCACCCCTGACTGTTAAGGTTAGAAAATGTCCTCTAATGTCTACTTAAAGTTCAGCAATAGAACAAACTGCTTAGATGAGAAGACAGCTTTTTGAGAAGGTCCATATGGCCATCTGACACTGATGGTGTAGATATAGATACACCTGTATAGGGTAGACTTGATTTCCATTCTGAGATTCTTGTAATTGCTGCCTATCATAACTGACTTCTTGGGAGCCATTCGTGTATCTTGTACTGTCATTACACTGTTCATCAAGAGAACGTAATGCCAGCATCCACATCCAGCAGTTCGATACTAGCTGTCAAAAGCAACAGCATGTTCTAACACGGTAACCTTTTAAATACTTGATATTTGGATTGGCCGGACATACAGATTTCATTTGATAGTTCGATCGGCATTTAAGAAAGATTGCAAGCCAATGATATTACTCAGTAATTTAAAAGGTTAGAATAATAGACTTAGGCAGCTTTCTTTCAGAACTGTAATCTGCAAGAATTCAGATACTGTACTTCGCTCTTAGAGAGAACAGAAGGATGGGGGAATCAATGAGAGCGCATGCTTTGCATGCATAAAAACCTGGGTTCAGTATCTCCTGGTAAAACTCAGGTAGCAGAGCTGGGCAAGACCTCAGCCTGAGGCCTTGAAAACCTGATGTCAATCAAAAGCAGACAATACAAAGCTACTCAGGTCAGTTGCCTGACATAGTATAAGGTGTTTTCACGTGTTTTCAAAAGAGTGCATCCCTTTAAATGTATGTGCTTTTATTTTCTGTCAGAAATGTTATAAATGCATTTCTTCTCTGTGATCTCACCTGTTGCAACCCTATTTGTCTTTGTAACCAATTGCATCCTGTGAAGGCAGTCATGGAACTGTTCCCACTGAAATGCTTACAATCCACAGTGCAATCCTAAAAAAGTTGTATTCTTCTAAATCCAGAGGCTTCAACAGACCTGGAAGGATGTAACTGCTTAGGATTGCTCTATCAGTCTCCCTTTACTGATATTGGGTGGTTCCTGCTTCTTTCAGTGTAGGGCTGTACCAGTTGCTAGTTGACATTCCTTTTTTTGTCATAATGCAGTGGCTGGAAACACTAAATTACCTCCATTGATAATCTTTCTTTGCCCTTTTTAGGGGATTCTTCACTGCCTAATGGACAGTTCCCTGAAAATGACTTGTTTCTTGATCTTCTTTCCTAGTAATGCAATCTTGGCCAACAAGGAATCATGCAGCCCACCATGCAGCCAATGTATTGACATCACAGTGTCATCTCTTAATCAGAGTTACAAAACACATGCTCACTAGGGGAACACTTTGGTCTTAGTTCACAGCTCCCCCACCAAATAAATAATCACTGAATTCCCCCCCCCCCAAAAAAAGTGCTCCCCTTTCAGTTCAGTACTTAAAGAATGTTTTCTAGCAGACCCAGACTGTACAACTATAGAATTATACAAAACTACTTTTCAAGACAGAAGAATTCTGGGGAACTCAAAAACCTACACAGCTGTCCACAGGGCTGGACACATTGACAGTAGCCTTATGGCTGAAAAAATGCTTGTGCATGTGCACAGTTGTAATGTAGCATCAGAATAGGGAAGATTCTGAGTCCCCCTCTGTGGCGGACAGTGTGTAAGATGCTGTATTTCTGATCCCAGAAGGGTAGCCCTGATCTTGTGTGAATATTTTTCTCCAACAGTAGACTGCTTATGCATCATACATGAGCTGTTCTTTGTGCAGCTAATCCACCTGCCGTAACATCTGACCTAGCTCAACTACTTTTGCTGTAGTGTCCTCCCAGCCAAGGATGATTAACTGGATACCCATGCAGTTTTGTTGATCAAATTTGATTGTGCTGTGACTAAAAAGATGGAAAACCCATCTATTGTCTTTGGGAGCTAGTGACAGCATAGGAGAAGCTTTCCATAAGCAGAATTGCATGGGGGGGGGGAGTCAATCCCATGTTGTCCTTCCTCATGGGCAACCCTGATCTGAATTGACTCCTCACAACACTTCTGTTAGCATTTTAAAATTACTGGGAGGATCCATTTGTGGATCTCCCAGCATCTCCTCCATTTTTATTTATTTGTTTAAAACATTTCTATCCTGCCTCTCTCTCAAAGGACCTGAGGCAGCTGAGGTGATCTTTACTCCAGAGCCAGTTTGGTGTAGTGGTTAAGTGCACAGACTCTAATCTGGGAGAACCGGGTTTGATTTCTCACACCTCCACTTGCAGCTGCTGGATGACCTTGGGCAAGCCATAGTTCTGTCAGAGCTGTTCTCTCAAGGGCAGTTCTGGAAAGAGCTCTCTCAGCCCCACATACCTCACAGGGTGTCTGTTGTGGGGAGGGGGAGGGGAAGGCATTTGTAAGCTGCTCTGAGACTCCGAGGAATCTCTTCCTCTCCCTCTTGGCACAAGAACTATGGAATAGCCTAGTACTTCCCTTGGATAACGTGCTCTGAAAGTAGGGTTGCCAACTCTGGGTGAGGAAAATCCTGCAGATTTGGGGGGGGCAGAGCCTGGGGAAGGTGGAGTTTGGAGAGGGGAGGGAGCTCAGCAGGGTATAACACCACAGAGTCCACCCTCCACTCCAAAGCATCCATTTTCTCCAGCGGAACTGATTTCTGTCACCTGGAGATCAACTGTAATTCTGAGAGATCTCCCGGACCTAGCTGGAGGGTGGCAACACTCTCTGAGAGCTTAGATAAATTTCTATAATTCTGTCCTCTTGCCGACACAAAAGCTATAAAACCATATTGAAGCCAACACTGAGAAGAATCACATTGACTTATGTAGTCATGGCACTGTACTCATAAATTAAGATCTCTGGAACAGAAAGAGGATTTAATACCCATTTGCAAAGGTCTGTGTGAGTTTATGGTACTGTGTCTAATAAAACACTCCCTCAACTCATCCTTTCCAAACCACTTTTATTCAAAGATTTCTGGGCATCTCCTCCATGCAGTGAATTTTTACTCATGAGTATAAAAATTATGTATGAAAGCTGCAAAGGGAACTCCAGTTACTCTAATGCGTTTATAGTAATAACATTTCTGCATGTAATTTAAAAATGCAATTTCCATCTGCTTAAATTAGCTGTGTGTAAAACATACTTTGTGACATTGGTGATGGATTTTTCCCCTTCTGGTGTGAATATTTCCTGTTTCCCAAGTAATTCTTTTTTTAAAAAAAAGATTCATTAAAGTGGTAAATAAAATTAATTTAAATGGACCTTTATTAAAGACTTGTCAACACTGTCATCATTATTACAAAATATGGCCAAGCTTAAAAAAAAACTCTTAAAGGATACACCTCCCCCAGAAGTGTGAATCCCTTCTTTCTCCGTCATGAGCATATTCTCCAGCCATCGCACAAGACGCTTGCTTGTTAGAGCTACTTTAGCAATGTATCATGATGGGATGCAATTAGTTGCTTTATTATAAATAAACACACAGCCAGAAACCACATACATCTCATGGCCAATCCATGAAGACAGAACATTTGAAATTATAATTATTGAATTCTGACTCAATCCTATGCAGTGTTATGCCCTTCCTTCTACAGCCATTGAAGTAAATTGGCTTAAAAGGGTGTACTGAAGACTGCACGGTCTATTTCAGTTCAAATGCTCTGATTGAACTGATTTAGGGATTGAGACTAGATTTATCTCCTTTTTCTTGCCCCTCTGAATGAACTGATAAATCCATTTGCTCTCTAACTACTGGAATACGAAGATCTTTTTCATGTTAGGGACTTACAAAATTTCCCATGATTCCCAGAAGTGAAATGTCACTAGTCTTAAAAAACCTCTTTTTTCTTTCTTTCCTTGAAGTGTCTTAGCTGTTTTTTCACAGCAGAAACCTCCAGGTTTACCATTGCTTTAGGTGAAAACCTCTGGCAAGTTAGGAAAGTGTGGACTGAGAAGCTTTACCAGTGTCACCCAAGTTTAGTTGTGCTATCATTGAAATTTCTCACAATCTCAGCCAGTTGGGAACCTCTAAATTCATCATGAAATCTGACATTCTACAAATTTGGGTGGCAACTCCATTACCAAGCTTCCTTGCTGTTTGTCCTGCCATTCATCCTCTTGTGAGAGGAGAGCCAATTTGATGTGTGAAAGCCAGTTTGGTGTAGTGGTTAAGTGTGCGGACTCTAATCTGGGATAACCGGGTTTGATTCCCTACTCCTCCACTTGCAGCTGCTGGATGACCTTGGGCAAGTCATCGTTCTGTCAGAGCCTTGAAAGGGCAGTTCTGAAAAGAGCTCTCTCCGCCCCACCTACCTCACAGGGTGTCTGTTGTGGGGAGGGGAAGGGAAAGGAGTTTGTAAGCCACTCTGAGACGCCGAGTGAAGGGCAGGGTATAAATCCAATCTCCTTCTCCTCTTCTTCTTCCTCCTCCTCCTCTTCTTCTTCTGTTTTCAAACAACCTCATATGAAAATCCTCCTTTTAAATCTAAGTAAAATTACAAATGCTATGCTTGATTGAGTTCTGAAAGGGATATTCATAGGGTTAACTGTGTCATGAAAAGATCCAGATGGTCAACTGTGCTGGTCTGAAGCGGTAGAATGAATTTAGAGTCCAGTGGCACCTTTAAGACCAACAAAGGTTTATTCAAGGTATGAGCTTTTGTGTGCAAGGCACACTGTTTCAAGCACACTGGAATGGCAGGTTTGAACTTTACCTGCCATCCCGATGTATTTGAAAAAATGCGCCTTGCACGTGAAAGATCATACCTTGAATAAACCTTTGTTGGTCTTAAAGGTGCCACTGGACTCTAAATTTGTGTCATGAAAACAACAACATGATTTTCATGAAGTAGAATGTCCTACAGTGTTTTTTCCCAGTTGACTTCTGTTCCCTCATGGTTTGTATTGGCATTCTTCATGTGATCATTTGAAAAAAACTTTTGACAAGACTCAGCAGTGTAGAAATTTTAGCCTGACAAGTTCCCCTTCATCTGACTCTTGAAAGCTCATACCCTTAAAAACTTGTGGGTCTCTATGATGCTACTGGACTGGAATCTAACTTTTCTACTACAGAACAATGTGGCTGCCCTCTGAACTGACTAGTCTGTTACACTGGAATCTATTGATTTTATTTGATTTAAATTGTGGTTAAAACCCAAAATTCCTGCTTATCTCGGTCATAATCACAGTAAAAAAAAAATTGAAAGAAATTGAAGCATTTCCAGGAAGAATGATCAAGTCTTAGGATTGGATCCTAGATCCTCAGGATTGCCAGTCCCCAGCTAGGGATGGGGGATCCCCTGCTTTTGTGGACTCTGGCCTGCAGCTGGCCAGCTGGCCGGTGGGGGGAACCCCACCCCCAAAGACAAAAGACATCCTCATGCAACATCAGTGATGCACTGATGTCACTTCTGGAAGAGACGCCATTGTGTTGGGGACGATATTCTAATTTTGGGTCAAAATTATGGTTTGTAGTCATTTTTACCATAGAGTTTTGCCCCAAAAGTAGAGCATCACTCTGACATGGCCAACATGATGATGTCACTTCTGGAAGTGATGTCAGCACATCACCGATGTCCCCACCCACCCCTGGAACGCCCCCCAAATCCTCCCACCAGCAGGAGGAAAGCACTTGGCAACCCTATAGATCCTACAAACTGTCAGGGGAAAGGAGCTTGTGGAAACATATCTTACACACATACATACACACACCCCTTTCCCTTTCCCCAGCAGTCCCCTGTGATCCCTCTAAAAGGCACACCTGGGGATCAGGGGACTCATAATCAATCAAAGAGCTATATGGCATGGATGGGGGGCTGCAGTGAGGAGAAGAGAACAGGGAGAAATCACTCCTTTTCCCTTAGTGGAGCTTCCGATATAAGAAGGAAAGGTGAGTTCACCCAGTTCTTCCTCCTCACCACAGATCCCTCCCCATGCTGCCTGGATTTTGGTCACTGAGGGCCCCCTGGTCCCCAGCAATTCCTGTTTGAGGGGTCATAAGAGGGCTGCTGGGGAAAGGTAAGATCCACTTCTGTAGGGAACTTGTGCTCACAGGATCAACCCACCATAGTTTTCAACACAGTGCAATGTTTGACCTGTGACTAAAGCAGAGCATGGATGAACATGCTTCTCCAGGATTTCATTTAGAAAGCAGAGGAAAGTAGAACCATAGAGTTGGAAGGGATCTCCAGGGTCATCTAGTCCAACCCCCTGCACAATGCAAAAATATGACAATTGTTACGCTTAGGATGGTCATACCAGAAGCATCTCACATAGCCTTACAGATGCTTTAGGATGGTCCTTCTTGGGCAGGGGGTTGGACTAGATGGTCTGTATGGCCCCTTCCAACTCTATGAATCTATGATTCTAAAACACTGGGAAGAGTAGTATCTTTACAGGACAAGGAATAAGGACCCCCAGCTGAATTACTGTCTGGAAGAAACAATGATAATTCCGAGGTTGCAGAAATCTAAACATTTTATGGTGTCAGTTTGAGTCCAATTTGAGTGAAAAGCTTTTCCTTAAGGAAAAGCCTTGTGATCAACATTTAGAGGGTCAACTTCCTTATAATTGTCTTGATTAGCAGAAGGATGGATGGAAGCCATTACATACAAAGTTAAAATACTGTCAACAGTAACAGCAACCATGAGGAAACTGCTTTAAAAAAATCACAGGCCTTGACAAGAGTTCCTCATATGGCCAAACATCTCTCTGTACTGAGCAGAAGATGTTGATACATGTGGGAAAGAACAAGGCATTCTTACGGATTCTCCATGATCCATCTTCTGAATGGGCCAATGAAATAAAACAGGGTCGCCTTTCAAAATACTGCACATAGCACAAATGAATAACAATAAGGAATGTGTTCAGTTAGATGAGTGTTAAATTCTTACAGTGGATTAGATGGTCCATTGATAATCAAGCTGGCATTAAAATATATTTCCAGAGAATAGTTTTCCCCCACACTTTGTATTCATCAGGCCACCTGAACTTATGTGCATCTACTTGGAAATAAGCCCCATTCTTTTCAGTGGGACTTATTCTCAGATAAGTGTGCATAGGATTACAGCCCTAATTCCTGTACTGGGAAAGACTTGATTTAAAAGAAAATGATTTATGTTATTTAAAGTAAAATTGAGCACTTATACATTTTTTATCTAATGCCTCAAGCCATTAATCTTGTGCTTATGAAATCTCTCGTGGTACACTAATCATAGTTTTGAAACCAAGATCAATAAGAGTTTTAGTAGTAAATTTGATAATGTCTAAAAGGATCTTATTAAAGAATTTAGGAGATGTAACACTTTTACACTTCCCTAATGCGTACTTGACTGCTTTTTCACAGGAATTGAAAGAAAAGATGGATGAGCTCCTGCCACTAATACCAGTTCTGGAACAGTACAAAACTGATGCCAAGTTAATCACCCAGTTCAAGGAGGAAATTAGAAATCTGTCTTCAGTCCTCACTGGGATCCAAGAGGAAATTGGTGCCTATGATTATGAGGAACTACATCAGCGAGTGCTCAATTTGGAAACCAGGCTTCGAGATTGCATGAAGAAACTTAGTAAGTTCATACAATTTCATGCCACATTTAGTTCACTGAGTACGCATTTGACAGGGTTTCCAACTGTCTGGAATTTTTCCAAGAAGTCCAGATTTCCCAACTGTGGTTGAGAAAAAGAAGTGATTCCATGTACATGTGCCTTGTGATGCTTCTTCTGTTGCCCACTGATCGTGTCCTGACCATAACAGGGATTAATGATGTGCATGGCAGACTGAAAACCAAGTCCTTTGTTAACACAGTAGTATGGTAGCCAGCCACCCAAAACTGAACCACTCCTTTAATCACATTATTATTCTCATACCAGTTGCCAGATGGAGGGACAACTCTAACATTAGAAGTAAATGTGATTGAGGTCACTTCATATGGTCACTGTTGTGAGAATTTGGCTGTGGGTGTGTTTCTGCACATGTTACCCATGTCGCCCACACTCTCCCCCCCTCAGTTCGTGTGTGTCTCCTGAGTGTCGCCTCTTACCAAGGCAGATGTGCAAGCTTGGAAATCACTAGGTCTCTTCTTAAAATAAGACTAATCTTTATTAAAAGGAACATTCAAAAGATTTGTCTGGCAAGATGACTGCAAGACGCTATGTCAGCCTGCCACACAGTAGAATCCTATTTCCTAAACATTGATAGAATACACACAGAAAAATAAACATACAGCAAAGTTTTCCCCACCCCATGCATGCGCGGACGAGAGGCCCTCTCTGACTGACTCCTTTCGGAGTCAGCTGAGGTCTGTTGTAACCGACCCATATTTATACCCAAGATCAAAGGGTTTCTTTTGATAATCATATTACAGCTACTATTTACAAGTGGAAATTGTCTACTGTAAATTGTTTCTAGAAGTTGAAATTGTAAATCCCTTCCTTCCGCCAAAAGTTCACACTCATGTACTGGGTGTTTGTTGTTTCCCATCATTTGGGCTCCATTTGGGTTACAGGTTCTTTTGAAGCTATCAAATAGTTACTTCAAAGCTATCTTCTAAGGTATGTGAAATCTTGTTGTCTTGATGGGATTTAGGGCCCAGCTGCAATTGTTATTGTCTTTAAATTGTAAGTCACACACATATATCTTGATTCAAACAAACTGTCCTTTTGGTGCTTTTGTTGAGATAAGATCGGGGTTTGTTTGAACTTCTGTTTCCCATGAATTTTGCATTGTGGATTTGAAACCTATTAGCTGCACAAATGGTCACCCATTTTATTGCAAAGGAAATTGGGGTCTCACACCTATGGCTGGGAATGGAATGCGTTACATCCTTGCATGTGTGACCAAGAAAGAGATCCTTCTGGGAAAAAGGGGCTTGCAAAAGAATCATGGGCTTTGATTCAACAGGCCTAGCAAGGGCAGAGACAAATATGTATACTATTTTGGTTCATTTTAAACCCAAACCTTCCATCTTTCTAATATTTCTTACCACAGTCACCAGGGCCAGGTGTTTGATTAAGCCACCAAAGCAAATGCTTGAGGCAGCACATTAAGAGGGGTGCCAGTCACCCTCAACATCACCCCCCAGATGACAGCAGCATGACCTCACTTCATGGGCCTGCACTGTCATCAGCCAAGTCCAAATGACACCTCTATGGAATATTGCCACAAGGACATGGTTTGGACCCAGCCTGTGGTGGCAGAGGCCCACGAGGTAATAGGCGTATCTTGTTTGGGATGACAAAATACCTTGAACCATTGCTGGTAATCAGGCCTTCTACTTATTAGACAATCTGGACCACATCATAGGAAAATGGTCTTCTAGTATCTTCTGTTTCATTGTGATATTAAGTGGATTTGGTCTAAGGTAACAGTATTATGGTGGAAAGGGCAATGTATTCACTGTTAAAATAATAAAAGAACAAATAGAGACAAGTAAAGAGTAAAAGCAAACAAATGGCCCTTATCTTCTAATAAATCCTCCTACACAATCACTGGCTCTGGGAAGCTCTGACACTTCCTTGGCAACCGATTGTGTCCATGAGCAAGGGCTGCTATGACTGGCTACCTTCGTGTGCTGTTTGTTGTTAGCAATTAGGATGCTTGGCTTGGTGCTCAAGTCAAACAGCAATTAGTGAATGTGAAACTTAACACCTTCAAAGCTTGGTTCACAAGTGATTGTGGCTGGAGAAAGGTATGTTCTCCACTGAAACATGTTCACTGTAAAATTCTTAGCATCTCTGTACAAAACCCATTTCATTTGGATAACAAAAGCTTGCCTTGGATTTGCTTTATCCAAGGGTGAATCAGATAATGAATTGGGGAGTTAAAACTGGTAAAACTGAAGGGTCTTAACTCTCTTCTCTTTCAGGCCAGTCCAAGGTAAATGATTAGGGGTGGGGGGGAAATGGTATTTTTCAGGTTTGGGTATGTTGAACCTGGAAACTATCGGTATTTTCCTATATTCCCAAATCCCAATACTAGTATGGCATTCAGATTTGGGATTTTTTGAAAATCCCATTTTTTTCCCAGCTCTGTTATACCCTTTGGGGACCATCATGGTCAATGGTCCCCATAGGGTACGATGGGAAATCAATCTGAGGGTATCCGAAGCTCAGGGGGAAGCTGTTCATTTAGGCAGAGACATCAAATTTGCAGCACAGCTGCTGATGCCTCTCCTCAAAAAACCTGCAAGTTTCAAAAAGATGGGACCAGGGGTCCAATTCTGTGGGCCCCTAAAAAAGTGCCCCCATCTTCCATTGATTTAAATGGGGGAGAAAGGTGTTTAAAAGGATTGCAGTCCTTTTAAATGCTTTCTTCAAGCTGCAAGTGAAGTCTTAAGGCACTTAAAGGGTTTGAAGTCCTTCCAGGTGTTTAAAGGGACTGTGATCCCTTTAAATGCCCTTTAACTTTGACTATCCAGTGATCCCAAAAATATTTTGGGGGCTTGGCCATTTTGGATAGCTGAAAAAATACCCAAAACTATATCCAACTGAAAAGTTTTTTCAGCTCAGATATAGCCAAATGTACACCCCTATAAATGATTGTGTAGAGTAGACAGTGTGGGCACTACAGATCGCTATATCTAGTGGGTAGAATGCAGAATTTCAGGAAGTAGCTCTCACATACTATACTATTCTATAATAAATCACACTAACAAGCAAATAGGTGAGTGCCTTGCACTTACTTTATGTGCCTCTCTATAAATGGGGGTGTATGTGTGATATCTGAAAAACAACTAAACATCACTGCTTCTACTTAAGCTGTAGCTCCTTTGCAGGATACAATCAATAAAATAAATTACAAGTTAAAAAAACAACCTTTTAAATTCCACAAATTTTTAATAGTTACTGACAAAACACAATTCAGCTTATAAAAGCTATTTGAGAGAAGCTTCAAACAACACACGATATTTCTGAATTAACTGATGCACAGCTCGGACCGCCTGTATACTTTCTTTCATCTGTGGCTGCAGTCCAGAGCCCATTATATTCCAGAATCCCTCTGTTAAAATCAACAGGATTGCTTCAGCTACATGGATTGTTGGTTATAGCTCTCATCCCAATCAGCTTTACTCATCCCAATCAGCTTTACTCATATTGATTTTAGTGGATTTTTACTTCCAAAGAACTGCTCTTAGAGTTTCAGAACAAAACAGGAGGAAAGCCTCCAAAATTCACCCAATATAGTTTGAACCACTTTGTGTGTTAAAGGCAGGAAACAAAGCAAAGATGGATTACCTGTCCCTTATGAAAGGAGTGGAAAATGCCATTTTGTAAAGAGAAATGGTTTGAAATTAAGAGAATTCACTGAGAGAATTTTTTTAAAAGATTCCCCTGTGGGTTAGGGCAGCTGCCTTGTGTTTGTATTTTTCAGGACTGCAGCTTGGGCCCTCTCCACTGATCTTACATAGTTCCAGTACATCTCCATCACTCACCGGCTCCCCCACATCCAAACACATGTGACACTTGATCACTGCACCATATTGTTGAACCATATGCTAAATAACAGGCTGTGTAATTTTTTAAGCATTCCTTCAGCCCACTCAAACAATGAGGAACAAAAATCATAGAAAGAAAATCACCTGCACTAAATTCGCAATAAGCAATTCCATTGTCAAAGAGAGGGGAATAATTGCAAACCTTCATCTCTCATTTTATCAATTCGATATCTTTAAAAACAATCTTATTATAAGCAAAACATTTCATTAAAAAAGGGAAATCACATAATTCACCACACTATGGTCATCATCTAGGCCTGTTCATATATCCCTGGCTTTCCACCTTGTCATTCTGTTTGGGGTCAGGCCACCTCCTTTGAGGCCTCAGAATGGGAAAGAGAGTGGGTTACACCACCCAAGTCCTCTTCATTCCTAGGACTGGCTTCCATGTGCACCAGGCCTGTATTTAACCCCCTTCCACTGGCTCCACTTGGTAGGCTACAAAAGGAAAGGGAAGCTGTGACAGACTGCACTTTAAAAGCTCATAAGTGCTCTGTAGACATGTGAAGGACTGTGAAGGGTTACTGCCTCACAGAGCCAGAAAGCCTTGAGTGACAGGGTGCTCAAAGGAATTTGAATGGGTAGTGTCAGTTGAGCAGAAAGACTTGGGGACTGACTGCTGAGAACTCAGTTTAGCCCTGGCTGAGAAGAGTTTAACATTGACTGAGAACTGGAACAGTTTAGCCCTGTCTGAAGAGAGTTTAACACTGACCAAGAACAGTTTAACACTGACAGAGGACTGGGAAAGTTGGCAAGGAGAAGTGGGAGGATTAGAAGAAGAAGAAGAGAAGAAGAGATTGGATTTATACTCCGCCCTTCACTTGGAGTCTCAGAGCGGCTTACAAACTCCTTTCCCTTCCCCTCCCCACAACAGACACCCTGTGAGGTAGGTGGGGCTGAGAGAACTCTGACAGAAACTGCTCTTTTTCAAGAACAGCTGTTATCAGAGCTTGTGACTGACCCAAGGTCACATCAGCAGGTGCAAGTGGGAGGAGTGGGGAATCAAACCCAGTTCTCCCAGATTAGAGTCCGCACACTTAACCACTACACCAAACTGATTAGTGAAGATCGCC